CGGTTCCAGAAAAATACTTCGTTATAAGCCATCTTCGTTAAAGTGAGAGTTCGTTAAAGTGAATGTCACTGTGTATATGCAACTGAATCCACGTGTTTTCTTTTACCCCGAATTGACTGAATATAACGAAGTGTTTAGTCCGTAATAAACTAATGACATTGTCACGCCAAGAGATCGATTTGACTATCTATTGAAATATGCGAAAAAATTTTTAAAGAAACGCCTCTGACACAGATGGTATTTGCGACAAGTCGCCTGATTATACAACTTTTAAGGTGGAAAGTTTCGCGGAGCAAATAAATATCGTTTGTCCACAAAGTCCTTCAAGCCTCATGTTCAGTTACAACCCTTTTTTATGACAAAAATCTTCGAATCGTCACAGAAAGTCAACCCAAAGCCCCCGTCCACGGAACTGCCGTATTACTCGATATGCTGACGCTTTGCATAAAGTTAACTAGACACCCTTTATTATTATAGTTATTTTAAATTGGTGAGAATTTGTAGACTGATCAATTGTTGTGTGATTGCGTTAATGCCAATGTTAAACGCGTGTGGTGGCAGGTTCCTGATTGTTTTAACACTAAAATTAGAATGCAAAACGCGTGTGAGACATCAAGCGTATGCAATAACTGTGCATATGCGGTAGTACGAGGTCTATCCACTATATTATGGTCACGTCTGTCAAAGTGGTGTTGACGTATTTGAAAGTCATCTCCTTCCATGTTTTGGTCATTATCTACCAATATTACATAAATCCACAGTACAGCTACTCACTTTAATTATACTTTATTAAGATATTCAGTTAATTATCAAAATAACGACAAGATAAAAAGGTAATAACAATTAATCATAAAGACAATAAATACAATAATCAACAATGTGTTTCATAATGCCACAAAACATACAAGGCGTTCAACGCTTCAAACTGATCAGTCACCAAGCGTAGATCTTTCCGAGATATGTTTTCTCGCAACAGTATTTCTTCAAGATAATGGTGTCCGTTAAAGTATTGTGTTAATCTAAACGAATTAGAAGGATGGTCGTCGTTATAATAGATGCAGGTTGGTTATAACAGCACAGCCTCTTCAACAGCATCATCAAACTGATTTACCTGTCAAAAAGAGATCTTATCTCTTCAGGCTTTTTGGCAGTCATGTTGTTAAGCCAATTACGCTCTGCATCGCTAGCTTGTTCGGGAGGCGCAATTGGTGTTGATATAATCTTAGAGTGGTCATAACTTCCTTCTCTTAATTTCCTCTCGTATTCTTCGCGCGTACACCCCATATGGACATATGGTGGGACCATTACAAGGATATACGCATGCAATTGTACGATAAGACCCTTACGCAGGAGATAAGCAATAGCATCAAAATAAATCGTCTTCTGCTCTTTGAAAGTGGTGGGAATGATGTCTTCCAATTTGCTAGGCGCAGGAGTGTTTAGCTCGGACAGTAGTGTGATTAGGTCCAAATTCGGACAGTGTTGACTGAAATCAGCAGTTAGCGCGTTCAGACTTGTAGAAAGCGCATGTGAATAAGAGACTGAGTCAGGATTGCTGGACAATACATAACGACAGATAACAAGCATTTTACAAATTAAAACTACTTACGATCTTAGATCCGCTGTTGGAGAGGTAACGTAAATATTTTTCGTGCTAATAACATCAATCAGTTTTGCTTTTCTCCAATAAATGAGATGTGCTACTATTCTGTAAATCTGTGCCAGAGAACAGTCGAGCAAGCTAATTAGATCTCCGAGTCTAAAGATAAACCGTTAAATTATTATTAGTATGGAGAAATACCACTACGGCCGTAATGCGTAATCGGTAGCCTATCGAGCACTCACATCTAAAAATATAACTCAAAGGATTGTTGCTCACCTTTGTGTAGGGGTAATAACTTGTATAAGCTGAACTAGTGTGGGATTTGCGTCCAAAGGCATAGCTTTCAAAATATCTTGAGGATCCTCTAACAATAAGAGTGTCTTGTGCGGAGTTATGACTGGAAATTGTGTATAATCATACAAATCCTGTCTACTGTCGTCTTGGTCAGGTGAAAACGATGGTATCTGCAATGTGATGTCAATATAATCATTAACAAGGGCGTGAGCTGTTGAGTCCATGGATATTGCATCATAAACATCAGCTATCGTCCTAGCAAGAGTACTTTTTTTCAAAGTTATTTGCATAAGCTCGTCTGCCGATTTATCTGTTATATAAGGTGTATTAGCGATGTAATTAAAACCTACAACCGTGTTATGCAGGTATAAGCTCGCAACACATACCTAATCTTGCAGCATCTTTCAATTGCATTATCAAGTCAGCTTGTTGTCTCACATAATCACATCTGTCTTGTTCATAGTAGAGAGCAGCAGTGATTTTTGCTATAACATGCTTGAACATTTTATCCACGTGCTGAGTCAATTCCAGTTCAGGCGGTTCCAGAACAAAGACCAGATGAAAATGGGTCAACCGGTTCGCTGGTTTCGCTGTTGACGGCACCTTTGTTCCGACGGGTTGGTCAATATCTTGACTGTCCATTACGTTTTCGTCGTCGTCTTTTTTTTTATCTTCCCGCAAGTCAATATCTCGTGACCTTTGTTCGGCTTTGGTGAAAGATATGGGTTGGCCCAAAAACGTCATTCCGTCGACGGTAAGTTGAAAGTCTTTGATACTGTCAGATTTTGGCAATAACAAATCTGCCAAATACGATTTCTTGAAACCAAGTAGAATCTCATCCCCATCGTCATTTCGTGAGGCACCATCGACTCTTTTTCTTGAAGGGATTGGATCGAAATCATCAGCATCCGATTCCATACGCGATAGTATAGATCGCTTATCGGTATCATCTCCTGGAATGTTCTCGTTTATCGTCTCCGTGTCAGATTCTTCATCCCCGGTAGTGTAATCTATTATTTCATGTTTTCGCTGTGGATCCTTTGGGTAATTGAAAATAAAGCGACCATGTCCTCCACTTGATTTCGTAACAAGTAAAATGGCACAGAGAGATGTCATCTTTACTCATGCGTGAATATCTGCAGCAAGAAGAGTAAATTGAAATCACATGACCAGCACAATTAACGCACGACTATATATGGGGCCAAACCGACAGAGTGAATATCTGACGTAATTGACACATTACATTGGATCAATCACTTGGATGACATTCTCTCTCTCTCTGCTTACTTGATTTGTCTTTCAAAATCTCTGGTTTATTTCCGTAATTTCGTTCGATTCTGCTAAAAGTTTTAATAAATCCGCTTATCGTAAATCTCTATTTTTGTTTCTTTGAATCTCCCAATCAAAGTGTGATAACTGAGCGTTCAACTTTCGCCATCATTGAAATAAGAACGCGGTAAAAGGTTTCGGAATTTGACTAGTTCGGAATTATCAGTATTTGTTCCGATGTTTGTTGACGTTGCACAGATGAGATTGCACATTCCCTACAAATCACGTTGGCATGCCGATAGCTGTGTACCAGATAACCTTCACGCCTACGATATTCCCATTTAACAGCAACTGGCAGGCTTGCACAAGACACCTAATCGGATGAATAAACATTTCCATCTTAAGAGAGAGAACTATAGGCAACCAAGAAAGTATACGAGGATGTAATCACAACGTTTATGCCCAAAAGTCAGAAACAGTTCTTGGGTGAGCGTTCTCTGCTTTGATATTAAAGTGCCACATATTCATTTATTCAATAAAATATTTCATCATTCTGGTAACAGACATCAAGTAACTTAGGTTGACATTAGGATTGAAACACCAAGTTGAACTCTTAGTACTAATATTATGCTTATTCCATTTCTTGCCCTTCTTTTTTAGTCCTTCATACGCTGTGTTAACCATTATCGTTATTGAGTTTTATGTCGCATCTAAAAATTTTATCTCAAGATTCCTGGATAAACATGGGCACTCTTTGGGAGAGTATAATTTACGCAAACCGGGATCATTGAAAGTTTGCTTAGTATTAACGATGCATGCTGCTGCTATTCACGCACTACACGTGATCGTGTTATTAAATAAATCCGATTCGCGACAGCTATTAGACACTTTAAATATTGATGATTCCGCCAAATGATGTATTTGTAAATCTACCGATCTTTTTAGCTTTGATACATTTTTGTACCACAATAAAATTCCAAATTTGTGTCAGAGCAACTACCATGTTACTATTACATATACATGTGACTTACTTGATGCATCAGACCGCCACATGCCGTCTGTGGAAAATATGCACTAGAAAGTTGGTTCACAATTCAACTTTCATTAACAAAAATGACATCCACTATTACTATTACTATTCCTGAGAATGAGTCAGAGAGAGTTCCAATACCAAGTAATGTCATCCAAAACTATGCAAAAGCAGCTGAACAAGGAGATGCTGATGCACAATGTAATCTTGCTTACTGTTATCAGTATGGAACTGGAGTAGAAAAGAATGAGCAGAAGGCTGTTGAATGGTATCAAAAAGCTGTTAAACAGGGAAATGCTAGTGCCCAATGTGATCTTGGTTGGTGTTATCAACATGGAATTGGAGTACAAAAAGATGAACAAAAAGCAGTTAAATGGTACCAAAAAGCTGCAAAAGAAGGAGACATTGATGCACTGTATAACTTTGGCTACTGTTGTGAAAATGGAATTGGAGTGAAAGAAGATGAACAAAAAGCAATTGCATGGTATCAAAAAGCAGCTGAACAAGGACACACTATTGCACAATTTAATCTTGCTTGGTGTTTTGAAAGTGGAACTGGAGTGGCAAAAGATGAACAAAGGGCTGTTGAATGGTATCAAAAAGCTGCAGAACAAGGATTTGTTGCTGCACAATTTAATCTTGGTTGGTGTTATGAAAGTGAAACTGGGATAGAGAAAAATGAAAAATTAGCTGTTGAATGGTATCAAAAAGCTGCTAAACAAGGACATGCCAAGGCACAGTATAATCTTGGTTGGTGTTATCAATATGGAATTGGAGTGGAAAAAAATGAGCGAAAGGCAGTTGAATGGTACAAAAAAGCAGCTGAACAAGGAGATGTTGATGCACAATATAATTTTGGCTGCTGTTATGATAATGGAATTGGAGTAAAAGATGATAAACAAAAGGCAATTGAATGGTATCAAAAAGCTGCTGAGCAAGGAGATATTGATGCACAATATAAACTTGGTTGGTGTTATCAGTATGGGACCGGAGTAGAAAAAAATGAACAGATGGCAGTTGAGTGGTATCAAAAAGCTGCTGAGCAAGGATATGTTAATGCTCAATATAACCTTGCTGTGTGTTATGATTACAGAGTTATGATTGGAGTAGTCAAAGATGAACAAAAGGCTTTTGAATGGTATCAGAAAGCTGCTGAACAAGGACATGCTAGGGCACAAAATAATTTAGGTTGCTGTTATCAATATGGAATTGGAGTGGAAAAAAATGACCAAAAAGCAGTTGAATATTACCAGAAGGCAGCTGAACAGGGAAATACTGATGCACAAAATAATCTTGGTTTGTGCTATCAGTATGGAAGTGGAGTGGAGAAAAATGAACAGAAAGCAACTAGGTTGTTTCAAAAGGCAGCTGAAGAACAATACCTTAAGTCACAAAAGTTGATTTATTATTATATGAACATTTAAATAATAAATTTGAGTTAAACGTAAATTTATTATTATAAAGGAACTATGCAAAGTACTAGTGGAAAACATTCGTTTATATGACAACAGTTGGGAATTTCAATTAATTTATTGTACACGCGCAAGAGATTAAAACTTCTGTAATAATTACCAATAAATAAACCTGTATTTAAACACCATGATAAATGAAGTCGCAAGTTTATTTGGTGGCGGCTGGAACGAATTGAAACATAATTCTGCGAAATAACGAAAATACATTTGCGATCCGGCCATATCAAGCCTCATGAACAAGTGATTGACCGTTTTTTGTCTCTTCAATTGATTTATTATTTGCCAAACGTAGTCGTCCACTAGGTGTACATACACAAATTCATCCACTGATGCAGTAACGATGTTTATATAATGTCAAAACATGGGCTACGATGCCAAATCTCCTCTCGAGAATTCTACTCATATATGCCTTGGGTACTTGAAAGTTCAACCTGCGATTGCGAGAAGTCCACCAAAATCTCAATGGCTTTAGGAAAACGGCACGAACAGTATTGAACTGATATTACGGTAACAATATCTCTTGCGGGGCAAAATCTATCAACGGAGAAGGATCAAAGTTAACAATAACAAATAAATAAACATCAAGAACGTTGTCAAGATCCCAACTCTTCCTGAGCCAAAAAATACACACCCGAGCATATCAATGCTGTTGCTGTCCACCGTCGCCATACTTCATTGACCAGTAGCACAACCAGTGGGAAACCTTGGTTATACGGCCAGAAGGATTAGCCATTGAAGCTGCTAAAGGCCACGGCGAGCCTAATGAAAGGTTCATATGTTTTTGAAACGAAAATGTCAAAGATAAAAGTAATTTCGGCTCACCTTTGTATGGACTAGATCGAACCATCAAACCTGCCAGTGCTCAAAACTACCTCGGTTGACTTAAAGAAAAAGATCATCAAGAAGACAAGCATTTAGATCTCGTATGTCCAATTACAGTCTTTTAGATCGCATGCCTAGTGTTTGAAATTACTCTCTTTTAGAGCCTTATTGGTAATGCATGCATGAACAATTCGGAGACTGGAATAGGAACGCATAGAAAAAAAGTTAGTAAGATATAGCTCATTACCTATCTGCCCAGTATTAAACAATGCAACATACTTCAAACGCTCTGTTGGTGTAAGGTAAAAGAAATACGAATTGCCGGATACGATGATGGTCTATTGATTAACCTGCTTCCAGTGAATTTGGCGTTCCCCGTTGATCTAGATGCAAAAATTTTCGCCGAACGTCGATCTCGGTAGGTTCCACGGGTTTGATAGATTATGCCAAGTTTCTATAGTCTTTCAAGAAACATTAAACGACTTGATCGTTCCTTTCTCCTTAACGTATGGGATGAGACAAAACACGCAACCTGATTACTTTCATGGATTCTTTCCCATCAAATATTATCTAGATGGACCAGTTGATGATCAAAAGTATGTATGAGAAAATTCAGACTTGATTCTCAAAAGTATTGATTGCCAAAGGAGATGATCGAAGAATTAACAATGTATAGTTATGAAAATACTTACATTGTCAAATATTCATTAATAGAAAGCAAAACGTGTCGCATAATTCGTATTAAAAGAAGTTGCCATAGCCGTGACTGATCTTAACTGACACTTTTCGAGTCATTGCTGGTCTAACTACGCATCATAAGATCGACTCTTACGAAAGTTCCATATGATCTTGATTCATCAGTCATTTATCAGGACCTACAACGCCTGTGGCAGAGGGTTAGGAAGACAGCAAAAGGGGGGGGGGGATGGAGCAATATTTATTGATATCCCGTCATAAGTACCCTGTCACTAGCTCCCTTAATTATATTACCGAAAAGACTAAAATTTCACGATTCCTCATGTTGTGCTGCTCGCATCGAGTAGGAAATCGCATGCTCTCTCGGCAAAAATGGGAGTATCTTTTTTTTGAGACGTTGCACAGAAAATACCCCTATTGCTGCAATAATGGACACTCCGCCGGATCACGGTGGCCGAATATTTTACATTATTTTGTTCGAATCATTTCCTTTTTGACAAGTAAATGTAATCACGCGTAACTGAATTCGCACCGCCGAATTTGCAGTCTTCAACTCTGAGTAAATCGATGATTGATTGTTCTATATAATACAATATAGTCGGTGCATGATTTATGTTTTCCAAAGCGTTTGCCGCGGCCATTGATCCCATATATATAAACATACTACTCAGCGTTTGGTCATATATTATTGTTTATTTGATCACTCTCTGAAGATAGCTTATAGAAATATAATTTAAATTTCCCGCGCGCATGCTTCAATAATAAAACCTTAATATTTCGTAATTGTAAGAAAATTTTTTAGTATTTTTTATATGCTGAGCTCATTAGGTATATATATGTAGTTTGTCATAGTATTTAATCCCTAAAAGAGGGCGTAAACCATGGTAATGAATTGAATATAACATAAATTATGCTTTTGCATAAGTCAATTCAAAGAATGAATTTTTTGAATAATTAAAAAGTAAAAAACCATGGCCCATAAACCACCTCCTCCGACAGGAATACCAATCAATTCCATGCTAAGTCAACCAAATCAAATATTAAAATTTAGTCGTCTCCCTTTGATCAACTAAGATCTCTGTTCGTCCCTTCTTTGCTGCAGTTTCTAATTTCCGTTGTACCCAGAATCTACTGCATTTGATGTCATAATCAACCTCTTCCAATTCCTTGATGCATCCCTTCCAGAACTTTGCATAATCTTCGTCGGTCATGTTCAGAGTTTTTTTAACGTGAGGCGCAATAGAGGCCGTCATGAACATGTTGATCTGTTCAAGATAGATGGTACCGATCTGTCCGCCACGTGGACCGAGCAAAAAGCTTCGCGTGTCATGATGGATTGGAGTAGATGGGAAACATAGAGTAAGGAATGAAGGAAGATGCTCACTGATATTAGGAATTACTTTACGTTGTGTAGAAAGCTCGGCAACTAAAAGATTCGAGACATATTTTTGTGAGATTCATAATGTTGAGACAAAACCAATGAGTGAAGATTATAAATGCTTACATATTTTCGTCAGTAGGCCCAAATTAGGACCATCTACAAATTTGGTTTGATCGATTTCAGCGATCTATAAATCGAACCCATTAGATACGCATCACAGACAAGGAAGCAAGTCGAACTAAAGACCAGACTTTTTTTTTTTACCTCAAGCCAGCCACCAGGTCGCAAAACTCTACAATAATCAACACAGGTTATGTTAGTTTAGATTATGTAATCGCTACAAGCATTCATGGGAATTACCCGCCCCACAAGTACGCCAAGCTTATAAATCAATCGGCTAAAGATTTTTAATTTACACACGCGCACATGGATCATGTCTCTTGTTTAGCAATGTTCTGGGTATGGATTGTATGCAATCACTTGTTTTATTCCCTGCGTCCATTAATATCGTACTCACCTGAACAATTCCTTTAATATCACGGGCCATTCATCCGCAGAAAGACACCAATTTAACAAACTGATGCGAATATAGTCGAAATATTGATTCTCAAACGGAACGTTATCCTTAAGATCGGCTATATAGAATTTTAGATTGGCGGGTTTGATTTCTGTAGGGAATACGGGTTGGATATCGACTCCATAAAATTCTACTATCTGGTTTCCAGAAGCCATCTCAAGAAGCCAAGTACCTGGACCACAACTATAGAAGAATTGTACAATTAGTTTACAGTTCTATCCCGCCAAACCAGAAATTTTTCTTGGTTTTGTGCTTTACATTGGTCTTCCTGCCTATGCTACTTACCCGGCATCGAGTACTCTCATTTTATGGTCTTTGAGTTGCTGTTGTATCGGAGCTGAGTAATTACTCTGCCATACATGCTGTAAAAGAAAATGCTGCATCTGTAGCCGGTCGATGTCCTCATTAGTACGTGGGAGATAGTAGGGCGCATTACGATTAAGTGATTGCTCGGGTACGGTATTTGACGTTTTTTTTCGCAATTCCGCAGATTGATTGTTTCCCATTTCTTTCTAGTTGCCTTGTAAAATAAGAAATAGGTGTAAAATAAAGAAAGTAATGGGATAAAGAAAGGAAAGCTGTTGGTAATAAGAAGGGTACGGGATAAAAGAATTAGGGATAAGATATGAAACGATACAAAATGTATCAGTTTAGTGAAGTTAATTGAATTGGCAAGGATTGATTGAAAGAACGTGGGTATTAGTTGAATTAAGGAATGTCGGAAGTCTTGTATAGCCGTCGGGAAGAAGGTAACATAAATTGACAAAGTGAGAAATTAAGTGATGGGGGTAGTAGTTTTAAAAGCAGGGATTTTGCCTCTCGACTTTTTTAAGTTTGTAATATGTCTGCATATTTTTTTGTCAACATAAACAAACTTTTATCCTAACCAAATTGAGCGAATTAAATATATAATATATGCCGGCCGCTTTAAAATAATCTGTGTGGGAATAGATTGCAACATCGATATATTTATATACACGAGGAAAGTAGGCAAACCGAATTATTAGTCATGGGTGTATACATGATCATACAGCGCACAGACGTTCGAACCGGAGTTTCACAGATACATGGGCTGTCAGTTATTAATGAAACAAGTCTTTCTAACAAGACGTTTCAAAGTCTCAATATAGATGCACGACATCTCTATAACGAATTAGGGATAATTATACTTTTGTGGTGAACAACAGACGCTCGATCTCTTCGTAACAATCGAGAAAGCGATGCTGCTTTTATTATTTATTTATCTTTTTGGACTTAATATCAATATTCAAACATTATTTAGCGGTCTGTCGCAATCAGGTTCACTTTAGCATGGGCTTAAAATAAATCAGTCGGAATTGATTCGCATAAACAAGCAGAGCAAATTACCTATCAACAAGGCCGCCGACTATTTAGGTTTAAAAAAATTTTGTATTTCGTGGATATAATGGTAATTTATATAGTGACCCGAATTGGTGTTGATTGTTTGTGTTTTTTGCAGTTGTTCCACTGCTGTGTGTGCATAAATTGAACTTAATATATAACCCAACAATGTGATTTGATGACTAGTCGACGGATTAGTTTTGTGCGTTTGTTATACTGACATTATTTCTAGGCAACTTATTAGTATCTTATAATACTTCCTATTTATTTTATAATATACACCCAACTAAACCCTCTTCATCTAACGAGTGCGTGGTCGGAATGTTTCGGTTTCTTGTGTTTTTAGTAACAAACAATAAAAAGCAACAAAACAAACAATTTGTACACTGTAACAGTCCTAGATATCATGTGAATTGCGTTTATATAAACAGATATTGCGATAATAATAATAAATGATTATCAAACGCAGATGTTGGACTGCGGGTCGCGGTTAGGCAACGAGCATGGTAAGGTGCTAGCATTGGTTCATGTTTGGTTTGACTTGTAATCTCCTTTTCATACCGTTCATAATTCGCTTTATTCGAGTGGGGGGAGGAGAGGTTACTCTTCCCTTTTTTTTTCTATCTGCATGTATATCAAATAGATATCTGCTTGGGGAACGCAAACAATCGCTTTCAACAATACGGATGCAAAAGTCGGCAGAATGACCAATTAACGAAACACAAAAAACCTTAATCGTATTAATGATAACAGATATTATCGCTGCGACAATGTTGTTAAAACATGTATGTTCGTTTGATTAAATAATTGCAGATAAAACGAATAATGAGAGCAGCCATTATAAAGGCAATATTATAATGACATAGTTTGATCGTCAGTCATATCCTAAAATGGGGAGTTATATACCAGATTATATATATTGTAAATGAGACAAACCAACATTGCAAGGGTTGCCCCCTGTTCATGTTCAAAGCCTCAACAAAGAAAGACTGTTCTACTTATTGAATTATTTTGATGCAACTTGCATGCAGAAGATAACTGGAGTCTTCGAAGGATGATTGGTAAAAAATATAGATAGGAACTGCAAGACGTATCAATAATCGGGAAAAGTAACAAAGGGAAGGTAAACATTCGAGAATTACTATAAGCTAAAGTGATACGATAATGTATATATGGCTCCATTTAGAGTGGCCAAGCCTTCAACTCCACAACTGTCATCAAATTGATAATCACATTCGATCATCTCCCTGCATGAATAACAAAAACCATGTGATGCCCCCCTAGAGCCCCGTATTAGATTCCCCGGTCCAAAGAAATCACAGGGGTATTACTTAACAATTTTTCTTGCGTCAAAAAGTCTGGGCACTGTAATCCCCGCACCAATATATTGTAAGAGAAAAAAAAAAAGAAAAAGAAAAGAAAAAGAAAAGAAAAAGAAACTAAATATAATTAACCAAAACTTGGTTATCCTCATATCTATTTTACTCGAATCTAATATATGGGTCATTAATTAAAGAATGAAATGCATGCTTATGGTAAAAAATCACAAGTATGATGGCCTGTCAATAAAAAGTACTGTAATATAGAAGGAAACAGTTTACAATTTCATAGACATTGATTGCCATTAACTGTATTGCTGCCACTTGTCGATAATTCCCTTGCGGAACAAAAAAAATTTATTCCGGGTTCATATTCGAACCATCCCCGGTTTTATGGCTACATAAACTTTATTCAAGGGATAAGGAGAGAAGCGCTATAGAAAATATCTGCCTATTAAATAACGTCTAGTCAAATGAATCGTTGGTAAAGGATTACCCGCAATCATGAAGTCGTTGTCGGTCATATTCCACAATCTCGTTGCGTGCGATGGGATCTAAACCATTAACCACTTAGAATACTGATCGACCAAGATACTGATGTCTGTTTTACTAATAAGGATTAGACTTTCCAATGATTGTATAACCTAGTACGACTGTGTATTAATATCATATTAATGTTTTAAATAGTATCATTATTTTTAAACGGGCGCTCGCCTACTTAAATTAGCACGTTTCAGAAAGATCTGACACCACATAATTCGTCAAACAAAAGGCTTCCCGATTTTGACAAACATGTTTATTCCGTATTCTATAATTTTTTTTTTAGTTCAGGAAATTTGATCGTTCCCTTTCCCCGCCGATCCATCCCTCTATAGGCATATTCAATATTAATATGTTAATTTGGCTGCTGTATAAGCTATGTTATGCGCCCCCAACCAAATACTGTTTGTTGATAGTAAAACAGGATGGAAGAACGCCAGTTTAAGGGGGGTTTATTGCGTTTGCAACTCGCATACGTCTTGCGAACTTTTTGGATTTCAAACAACATATCCATGTCGAAAATATCTCAACAAAGGCAAGTATCTTTAACTAAACAGAAATCACTTGATGCCTCAACATCGTTACGATAGTAATTATTGATATATGTATACAATCATGCAAGCCATCAAATCTTGGCTGGAATATGCAATGTATTACAGGAAAGACCGCGACCAATCAGCATCAACAATGATAACAAGCCATAGACATGCACGCACGATTACCAAAGGAATAATCTACATTTTACTGTGCTAGATTTTGTTCCCTGAGAAAAATAATGTTGTGCTAATATTTTCCCTCACACCACAACGAAAAAATGCAAGCCATTGCAAGGTAGCACGTTACATTTGCAAACCGCAGTAGACGTGTTTCTAGATTATCAACCGTTTCTAATACATGACGCAACAGGAATCGTATCACTAGTAAATAAAGAGAGCATGGTTTGAATTATGAAATCTACTTTCACACGTACAAGACTGACGCTTGCATCTTTGTGCTATCACCACCAATCTATTTTGTTGATGATTGTCTTTGTCATCAGGGTAACAAACTCTTTCATACACAGAATTACCATAAAAGCATTCGATTTTATATCGTCGTACGTTTGCATAGACAAAATGACAATTGATTTTTTGGTCATTGTCGAGTCTTACAAAAGAAAGCAGACTATCTGTACACATCGCTGAATCCTTAATCAAGATTGACTGATCCACTATATGTGCATTCTAATCAGGGGTTGTAAATATGGTTTTAAATCAACATGCTAGAGAAGCTAAATGGGATTGGTTTGTTATCGCAATTGCATAAGTCTTTGACTTTACATGACATTTGGCATGTGAAACGTAAAGAAAACGTTTTTCGAAACTTGACGAAGCGTAGGCAATAACAAATAACCCTTAGCATTAGTTCTGGTTTTTTAACTGGGCTCAATCATGCTACTATACTTGAAGAAGCAGCAAGTGGCAAACTAGCATTGATATATAAAACCGAACCTTTTACATATGATGGCTAGAACACATTAATCAATATGGTTAATGAGAAAAACGCTTTTGTGAACGTTTGAGCAGCCCTTATTTTGAACAAGAAATTTAGTGTGTTTCTTGATTACTTAGTCTGGTCTATTAAGCATGTTGGCTATAGAAAGTGGTTTGCAATAATAAATTCGAAAAATATTACCGTTTGCAAGATACGCAGCCTAATAAGCTGACCAAAATTACATAAATTCTCAGTAGCTATAAGGAAATTTGAACAAACTGAGTTTGTTTAATACATAACCACAATCACTAACTAGTCATTCACAACTCGTGCGGTAACAATAATTAGTGTTAAAATGCTCTAAACATGCTATTATATCGTATGTCCCGAATGTCAGTAGATCATATGAGTAGAGCAGTATCGTGTCGTTAGCTTAGCTCATATGAGTAAAGCAGTATCAATCATAATATTCAAAACCAAGACAAGATATGATGTGTTTTATTCAATTAACATCTTTTATCACGTAACTTTGGCAAACACAGCTTATTGAGACTGACTATATATTAGTATTGGTATTTGTGTCTAAAAAATTTTGTTATGCTATTACTGCAAGTCAACAAGTAAAACATAAAAATTACAACACAATCAGAAGGCTCAAGAAAGCCTGTTCCATATTTTTTTTTAATTCTTGATTACAAATTTCTCTCTAGATAGAGATTAATCAGTGAGAATTAACAGCTGCTTATGACAAACTACTTAAAAATGAGTGTGATAACCGTGATCCAGTGAAATAGTCATCATTTTTTTGTTTA